TAGAGACACAGTAAAAATTAATTCAAAATTACTGTACTTGTGATATGATGGGAAAGCTGAAAACTAATTATGCAAATCAGAAAATTAAAATGAGCAGAGTGTAAAACTAATAAGGTCTGCGCAATGTAAAAGAGCATCTATGTACTAAGTTTTATTGAAATGTGATTAGAACCAAACAATTATGAATTATTATGCTAATTAGGAAATTAATAGGAACAAATCTCAACCCAAAACTGATCATATTTGAACATTGTCCTAGAGCATCTATGTACAAAGTTTCATTGAAATGTGATGATTAGTACTTGAGATATACGTGAAAATCCGAAAATTAACTAATTATGCAAATTAGGTGATTAATATGCACAAATATTTATCCCAAAACAATCAATCTCTGCATAGTCCTTGAGTATCTATGTACCATGTTTCATTGAAATGTAATGCTTACTACTTGAAATATCAAAAGCTGAAAATTAATTTATTATGCAAATTAGGTAATTAATATGTACTAATATACCCTAAAAACTACTAGGTCTGTGCAGTGTCCTATGACATCTAGGTACCAAGTTTCATTGAAATGCGATGATTAGTAGTTGAGATATCAGTGGAGAAGTCAAAAAAATTAGGTAATTAATATGCACAGATTTTCACCCAAAACTGATCAAAACCTAGCTTAGTTCAGAGCATCTATGAACCAACTTTCATCAAAATCCAATGAGATATCAGTGGAACAGTCATGGAAGAGCTAAAAATAAGCTAATTATCATGCAAATTAGGTAATTAATATGCATGGATTTCTACCAAAACCTAATCAAATCTGCGCATTGGCCCAGAGCATCTTTGCACCAAGTTTCATCTAAAAACGATGTATGGTTATTGAGATATCAGTAGAACAGACGGACGGACGGACACACACACACACACATACAGACAGGGTAACTGCAAAGACTCCCATTGTGTGCTTCGCACACAGGAGTCAAAAATACATGTACAATATTGTTGGCCTTTAAAATAAATGTACAATATTGGATGGGCCTTTAAAATAAATGTACAATATTGGAATGAAAGTAAGACAACTGAGATGAAAGTCCACAGTACCTCATTGGAGGACTATAGATAGTCTACGGTAATAGAGAGATGAAGGAATGTTTTCATGAACTACTTAATACTTAATAACTGAAGTATGATACTCTGATTGATGAATCAAATCTTGTACTCACCTATAAGGAATATGAGTCTCTGGATTGGGGGCACTTTGTGGTCTGTTGGCAGTACTGTTAGATTTCAAAATAGAAACAGGACTAGTCCTCTGAAAATGGAAACATGAATAAAATATATAAAATGTGGATATTATTAACATTCAAAAATGTAAAAAAAAACATGTGTACTCTACTACATAACAGATTGTTCACAGCCGTTTTACAAAATAACAAACAATGGTGTCATGAGAATTGTTGTATGTAGTTGAGTGGCTATCAGCGCTCTGCCAATATACTGTAAAACCATTTAATTTCACTATTTTGATGTTTTGAGCATATTCACTGTGTTTTAATTTCAAAAATTTGTCAAGGAAACAATGAGTTTTATTGTTACTTTACATGTTCACGTAGATTTAATTTTAGCTGATTTTAATAACAGCGAAAACAGCGAAATTAAAACCCAGTGAATGATCAATGCATTTACAGTATGAAGTACAATATGGAAAATTAAAATTAATTGTTCATTTATTACACACAACTGGAACATGCACAGCTGAAACAACTGAGCGTTTGGTACATGCTGACGGGATACATACCTGTAAATCAGGTAAATTCCTATTAACACTACTAGCTCTAGAAAGATTGGACGTTCTATTTAATGTGGACAGTGGACTTTTAAATGTCATCACTTCACTTTCGGCTTTTTCTGCTCGATCGGCTAACGACTCTATATAGCTCTTTAACTGCTCCTTGGCAGATGCTTCTTTTTCAGCAGTCGCCTTTAAAAAGCTGTTCATGAACTCATTTGCACTGCAAACAAAAACAAAGTCAATACACAAAGTGAAAATTCTTTTCTCCAATAGTGCCCTCATGAGGACATTATGAGAAATCAAGATGACTCGTGGAACACACACTAATCAAATTGAAGAACAATGTTATATCCAACAACATGGCTGTTAGATTGAATAATGACTATGCCAGAACGAAGGATTTTACAGTCAGAATGAAAATAATTCAAAACTGTCAACAAATCTGAAGATATTTGTTGTTTATTTAATTTAATCTTTTCTAGATGTTGATTGACAGGTGACAATACCAGAGCAATGAACAGAGTGATCTGGTAACCGCCTGTGACTTTATTAAAATCAATCAATTAGGTCAAAGTTCATCACACCACTTGTATTTGCCTTGGTAACAAATTACATTATCTTAATCTGACGAACTGCTGTACTTTATTGTATCTATGATGTAAAAAAACATAAAAAGGCGTTTTGTTTTTTTTCTCTAGGCTAAAACCTTGTTACCATAGTAACCCACACTCAACCTGGTGTTAATAGTTATATGAACAAGTGGGATCAAAATTTAACAAAACATATTTTTACGACACTCAAGTTATTTTATCTATTTTTCTGGGGTTCTTGCCTGTATGTACTGGCAACATGTTTTCGATTGTACGTACTGGCAATATACAAGTACACTACAATTTTGCCAGAAGTTTTATCAATTAAAAAATTAACGCATTAATACAATTAATGGTTACAAAAAAATACCCTCCGTTTATCATCTACCAATATCTTTTATATTTGTATTTTTTACGAATAATAATATAACAAAGCTGTCACAGTAATATGTTTTTAATATAATTATTAACAGACAGTTGCACCTTGAAACTAGATTGAAAAAACAAAATTCATTCATTACAACTTCACAAATGTTTTATACAACTAATCCTACCATAAAACACATCACTCCAGAACAAACAAAAAAATGCTAATTTAGGCCAAAGTTCATTCAATGCTAGATAGATATAAGAACAAATTATTTTTTCCCAAATTATCAAAATCAACCTCAAGTAATATATGAAAATGAAATTGATGTGGGGGACGCCATCTGCATGTATTAGATTGTACATTACAATACTGAAAGCAACAAATCCAACGCCACCTGTTACGCACTAATGTGTTGGCATTGTTAATAGCGATGCACAGCCGGCTTACATTTTTTGTATCTCAGTCGCCACACAGGTTCCATAAATCATACACATATAAAGTAGAGCATTGTTCATGTAAAGCACAGGTTAAATATGAAAAAAACACTGGTAAATAAGAAAACAATAGACAATAGGAATGACCCTGAAAATTGAGATGCACATTAATATTTACACCAGGAACCCTAGAGTTAAAACATACATGTACTACGTTACCTAGCGTGTTATTGAAACGTGTAATTTACAGCTTTTGTACTGCCCTGAAAAGTGTTAATTCTCTTGCAATTTCACACAGCAAATTAATTCTTGTTGCCTGCAATATTAAATCTTCTCATTGTGATATTAAATGTATACTAGTATGTAATCTATTTTTATGTTATATAACATTTATATAACACAGCAGGTGTTCATAATATTATATTGATATTATGAGTTGATGGGCCAGCTTCAGAGAAGTGAAGTTATGGATATAATTGACATAATACCAAATACCAATACAGACATGTCAACAAGGACATTGGATACATGTATCAGGTTTTTGATCACAAGGTACAGAAAGAATACATACACAGCTCAGAACAGGGCTCCAAACAAACAGTATTTCAAGTCACACATGCTGCTACTACTAACAGGCAAGTTTTGAGTCCCATGGTTGCTAAGTTACTGAGCCCACCAGTGTAGATCTTGAGATAAAAAAATGGGTTCAATTTTATAATCAGACATTCATCAGTCAGTTTGCTACATTAGTTTACAAGTTTAATCTTTGAATGTTGCCCATGTTTTGTAATCTATAGATACTGTGATATCAAATACTCATATTTTTAGTCCTATGTCATCAATGAAAAAAAAAAGTATTGTGTACACTATCAAAAGTATCCTGGATACCTACAATACCAAATAAAAAAACCAACATGTTCGGTACAAAACCAAAGACAAAAAGTTTACCACCTCTGCATGCAGATAAACAAACAGTAAGAGAATCCCCCAAAACAGCTGTTCTTTTCCACGAATTAAAATTCAGAAAACTAATCCATGTAGCCTAACAGACTTTAAAAATAATATATTAATATTTTTTATTGACACAAAATTTAAAGGTTATTTTCTTGTACTCATTTGTGTGCTTCAACTACCAAAACACTGATGAACAATACATCACCATAGAGCTACCAGCTATTCAAACTGGTAACGCAGCCACACTCTAAAAAAAATTATCAAACTACCCACTTCTATAATGACATCATCAATCATTTACTATTTTTAACAAGGTTAATTGAATGCCTGGGTAGCAACGATGGTGAAAATACACAAGGCACTGTTGACAAATTCAAATAATATTAATATTAACAATATTCGCATTGCGTACACGTATAACCTAATTTTCCTATCAGTGCAGTGTTAATTTAGGAGCTGAGGCAATTTGTTTTTAATATTTTGAGTCATCATACTGAAAGTTGAATAATTAAAAAATAATAATATAATCATTATCTGTCTGTAATATCACATGATATAAAAATGGAATATTCTGTTATTCAGCGAATCTACACTGACAAAGGAACACATTTTTCACATCATTGCAACCAATGCATACACATGGAAGTATACTTGTTCCCACAGTAAAAGCGTTACTGTTGTCATGCAGCGCGTGAATTTTATGTAAACAAACAATGTATTTTACATGCGCTGTATACATCGCTGTGGTTCTCATATCGAACACCACATGGTGCAATGATTATAGCACTTTTCAACATGTATTTAAAACTGAAATGAATTTTTTTCTTAAATCTCCCCTTTGTTGCATGTCTGGATAGCAGACTTCAAGAATTTTCAGCGGAAATCCCCCTAACATTATTTATACAAATTTAATAATTCCTGTCTACATTTCATGCCTCACAACGGCTTTTAATTAAAGGCTCATGTAATTTCTCAGATTAAATATGGGGCAGCTTTTAGGATTTAAATTCCATGAGCAGATAAATCCACAACAAATACTTTGATCCCAGGGAAAGAGACACACGCATTCAAAGTGAACAAAACTTGTTATGTCAATAAACAACGACAAAGGATTCACTGCATAAAAACATGTTGCACCGTATCCGCGATAAAACGTGATATCAACTAGTACAACGATATCACTGATTGTTACACACTAACAACAGTATCCAAGCAACAAGTCACCTGACCTTGAACAAAGCATGGGTCAAGTATACCACACCTCAACTATTAACAACAACATGAGTACATTTTATAGAATCACTAATACTATTTTGAGATGTAACTACTGTGAAATACTTTATTTTCGCTTGGAATTAATTTTCGCTATTTTCGCTGAAGGAATGATTCACTGAAAATAAAATCCAGCGAATATACCTTTTTCCTATATTTCACATTCAAGTTGTCAGAAATCAGTGAAAATAAATTCAACACAAAAATCTTTTCAGCGAAAATTAATTCCAGCTAAAATAAAGTATTTTACAGTATACATTTACGATGTCAGTAAGTCATTCATACTATGCTTTCAGTACACGCATACATTTACTTCAAACCGCACAAAATCATCGCCTTGCCTTGTAGTAAAATAATACTACAGCTGAGATTATTACCAATACGTGACTATTCTGTGAAACTCTCATCTATATAGTTAACATTATCACTGCTGATACCACTGTACCACAGCTGAAATTTGTGTAAAACAATTGAATTTACACTATTATTAAAACCCAAACACATTTGTTGATATATTGTAAATCACTTTAATTTTGCGAGAGACGCATTTTCATGAGTCAGTGAAAATCGGTAAATTTCATCATGGTCCTATGACATGAGGGTCACCAAATTTCAGGAATGCTGAAAATCTTTAAAACACCTAGCCAAACATTCTTCGAAACGTCTACCTGAATTGTGTTACATTGATGTTGTAGATTTTTTTGAGTTAATATTGGATGCGACAAAGTAGTATGTGGTGAGAATAGGATCACGTCACTGAACACAAACAATTGCAGACATGAATCTCGTGAAATAATTTCTACTGGCATTTGTTGGATTGTTATATCTCACTAAATTACATGTCTAACAAAGCTGGTCAAGTTATTACAAGAACTCTACAAAATGTGCACCATTACATGGTCATATTGACCTCTGCTACAAACACCAGTCAATAATCACCATATTACCATTGCACATACTTTGCATTAGTCTTCACTGAAATGCTATTATTACTGGTGCTTGAGAATACAGTACACACATGCGAACTACACAGGAAAATCGAGACTTGCACTTAAGACAACCAACGCACTGTCTCTAAGTTCATGAAAGTGGAAGAACGTGCAGCAATACAATGGATAACAGATATTTGAGATGCTGAAAGTACTGAAGATATTGTTACTGAGTTTATTATTAGAACACTGATGGGGATTATACAATCAGATCAAGTAACTTATACTGATAACTCCTTGATTGGACACAAATGACCCACCACAAATACAAGTAGTTGGACTCAAGTGAATTTTAAGCTAAAGTTTTATGTTAGCACTATAGACGTACTCATTAGAACCCTCTATTTGCAGTACTTACCGTTCCCTTTCCTTGAGTTCTTTTTCTTTTTCGTCAAGACGCTGCTTCGTATTTGCTAAGTGTTGCACACTGTCATCTATTTGCCGATTCAATATCAAGACATCGTTCTGTAATTTTCGTTTCTCAAGCGTTAATTTCTGTAATTCCTCATGGGCGGTGTCCAATGCTTTATCTTTGCTCTTCAGTTCACTACGCAACCGTTCAATCTCATCGAGATATTTATTCTCGGCATGTCTGTCATTTTTTGGGTATGAGTCGTATAGTTCCTCCGATCGACGCCGCTCATGAAGACTTCTCCTGCTGGACGGCCTCAGGGAATCATCCAAACTACTACGTCGAAAATCGTCAATCGTATGTGCCGGAGAATACAAATCCCTGTCTCGTTTATGCCTTCTTTCTGACTCTTTGGCATGTGCAAGCTGTCGCTCCAGTTCCTTGGCCTCTGCACTAAACTTTTCCCATGGACGAAAGGCAGACTTATGAGTTCTTGGCATTCCAAAAGAACTGTTCGGTGAAAAAATGTCAGGTGCTGGGTAGGTGTGTTCAAACTCTAAATGGGACTTTAATGCAGAGAGGCTGGGAAATCTTCTGGTTTCCCCACATCGAGGGCATCTATAAGGTAGTTCTAATAATACTGACATGTCGTCCATCTTTACACAATACAAATAGTGAGAAATACTGCAAAGACAAAAGATAGTTTGAAGTTACACTCTGAAATCATTCGGATATGTAAGCAAATTGTGGAAAAAGTATAATTAAATTTTCAGTTTTTAATTCTTTTGAGTTTGACCGAATGTTTAATTTCAAATTACCGTACTATGACCAGCAGTAATTCTAAACAAGGGTAAAGGTTATCAGCATCAAATAAGAACAAGCAATATATACCAATCAATTTTGCATTTAAAATATTAAATTTTCACAGATACAATGCAATGTAAAAAATAAAAAAGTTATATTGAACAACTTGAAAAGCAAGATACCTCAGCAATGTATAGCAGTGTATATCCAGCCTCTCTGTCTTATTGAATTATTGTATCTATACTGAGTTTAATGTCTCTATCAACGGTATTCAAAGATCAGCCTTTAATGAGGGGAGGCAAGGGGGGTAGCTGGTACGGTTTTACGGGAAATAAAAAGGGCGTTTTACAATTTACAAGGAAAAAAAAGACGTTTTTACAGTTTACAGTGTTAAAAAAAGGAACATTGAATGGTCCGAAGAGCTCTCCGGCTCAAATTCTCCACCATTGCTGCGCCGTGTGTAAAGATGCACGCGCATATTACCCTCGCGATGCTCTTCATTCGGTTAGAGGGCCTTTTACGTCTTGACATTTAATTTTGTAGTGAATTGTGTCATCTAGTCATTTTACAGTTTCTGAAATGTAATTTCCCTAGATTTTTTTTTACGATTTTTTTTATTTGGATGTAAATTCTTGTACATACCGAGAAAAATGACACATTTTTACAGTGTACGAAAAATATATTTGATTGATTACGTTGTACGTCTAGCTTGTGATTACAGAATTACGGAATTTATTTTTTTCAATTTACGTAGTACGAACAAAAAAATATTGCTATTACGTTGAATGAAAATAACCCTTGCCCCCCCTTTAATCCTTTCTTATGTATTTGTATACATTTTGTTGTTGTCAATACTTATATTGATTCACTGAAGTAGCTGTATTCATACTATGTCAAGGATTATTGCATCAAACAACACTGTTAAAGTCGGTCTCATGTACTGATTAGCTGCCAGCGTGTGTCAATTAAATTACTGAATTGCTATTACTAATTTTAATACATGCTGATATATTTATATAATGTCTGATAATCAGACATCTTTTGTAGGCATATCTTGTTGCTTAGCAACACACAGTATGTGTTAACTAATTTTGTATATATATATATATATATAACAATGGCATAGTATGCATGTGTGTGCTTTTTTTAAAACAAACTTCCATGTGCAAATTTTAAATTTCAACCTTTGTTGGTGCAATATTATTCATATTCTTCAATGTTTTTCTGTAATTTCTTTGTTAATTTTTTACTAAATGGACATAATTTCCATTTGGCGACTGTTCTTGATAAATTGTGTTGATAACAAATATTGAAAAAATAATGTGGGTTTGTTGTATGAAAAGTGACAAAGGACGACTTCACCAGTTATTAATTTAAAAGTGGTATCGGATTTCAACCACATAAAACATGGCAGTTATTAATTTTTTCCATATAATGAAAAACTATACATAAGCAGATAGTAATGAAATTGACTACGTGCAGACCTGAGATACGTTATTTACCTCCGTCAACGGCCGATAATTAGTTGTATGGATTTAGTGAGTGGCATATATGGATTATGAAATTAACGTGCACAGATGGCATATGTTTATAATCGTTATTTCATATATTTGATATTAATAAATGTAGTGTTTGTTCTCAGTGTTATGATCCGATACACTATATAAGCAGTTAAGTGTCATGTATGGACTCAACTATTTATCTATATCACTATTGTTCCTGTATTTTGAGAACAAAATTCAAGAGTTATTGGTGTTGAATCTTGATTGATTTTGCAAATTCAACGACTACATGTATGTCATTTTTTGTCTAGACAACCAACTATCCCATCATGCATAGCTGTTTCAGATATAGTTTTTAGAGCAGGCTAAACAAAATAAACTTAGGGAAGTATGTGATGTTCAAGGCTGGCTCGGGCACAGTGAGGAGTAACTGTTAAATTTTGTATGGAAAACTGGGTTTGCATCGAATTTACTGAAACCTAAACAATGTGTCTGGTACGATATACTGTAATTGCACTGGGTTTTAATTTCGCTATTTTCGCTGATAAGTAAAATCCGCTAAATTAATATATATAAACATGTAAAATAACAATAAAACTAGTGAAATTGAAATATAGTGAATATGCTTAAAACATCAAAATAGCGAAATTAAATGTCCCTGAGAAATAAATGGTTTTATAGTGTATAACACATAAGAAAAAAATGCAGTCGTCTTCAGCTCTAACAAAAATCCAGCTAAACAAATTAAGTATTAATGTTAGTACTCCACTTTTGTGTTCCACTCTTTGTTTTTTTGTTAAGGTCGTAAAAAAATGTCATTCGAATTCAAGCTATGTCAGCTACACCATCACATTTTTCACAATTGCACTTTGCAAATTGTCATATGAAGCCTTGTCATTTGAAAATGGACGGCAAGTTCTCCTGAACACAATCAGTGATTAGGGGAACTACATTTTTGTATTAAATCTCTTTAAACTGGTGTGAATAGGTTGATTTAAGTGAGTGATAGGGAATGGAGTGATCACTCTTCTCAAATGGCATGCAATGTGATATCAAAAACACTTTCTAAGGACACCAGACATTTACACATACAACACCATAATTTTGGAGCAATATTTTGTATATTTTTAAGTATTGTTCAATAATTTTTTAACCAAATGGATATAATTTCCCATTAGGTACAGGTTTTGATGACATTTTAAGGAAAAATATAGAAAAACAAATTGTGACAAAAGTCAATTTTAGTGTTTAATATGGCTTTAATATGTGGTCATTTTCTTGAGGAAGATGATGAGTTGTTCCTGGTGTAAGCTTAGTAGCACTCTAAGATCATAGCTTTACTGGGAGTCTTCAGGTTTTATGTAAAATATTTGATGGTACATGCTATGAATTGTGGGAAATATGTAATGAACCACTGAAGTAATTTGGAACAGACATGAATCTCAGTGAATCAATGTACAATAGAACAAAAACACAAGTAATATAATTTGAACAAACAATAAAATGGAAAGCCGAAATGATCGTCATATTCAAACAAGTTGAGAATTATTGAAAATTTAACATTTATTGCATTTTATTTGCCACAATTAATGCATATTCAAGATCATCACATTTCACGCAGAGACCCCTAAGACTACAATAAAGCTATATAACCTCAGAGTTCACCTAGCATACTGACAAGTATAGGAACCATATGCTCTTGATAACGTATGGACTCTAATTCGTGTGGCTAAATAAGTGTTAATTAAATAAAGAATAAATATCAGCGCAGCACAAAGTAGGTATAACAAGAATTGTTTTTGTTGAAAAACATTTGTTAAAAACAATAAAATTCAGACTATGTTTGCAAAGGTAAACACTAGCAAGAGTTTCTGGATATGATATTTTAAGCCAAATATAATAAATTCTGTGTTTCCAGTAATCTCACATACCCATAATTAGGAGGAAATTGAAAATTTTATTTTATGCAAATGAGCAAAAAATTATTTATTTCTAAACAAATTCAGCATGGTAAAAACACTAATATTGTATTTCATTTACTTTCTGTGGTTAATGAATTTAATGATTAATGATTGTGATCAAAGAAAACCACACATTAGGGGGAAAAAATAAAAAATTCCTGCCGACCGACCCAGTATTTTTTTTGCTCTTTACTGGAAACACTATGTAACATAGGACTAATTTATATACTATCATTTGTTTTTGCAAAGGTTGCAACATGTGTCTTACCGGTATGTGTTTAATTTCACTATAATGGTATACATACATATTGACAATCCCATGGGTGGTCTTGCCAAAATCATTCAATGTTATCACTGCTTAATAATAAATACTGTGGAATACTTTATTTTCGCTGGAATTAATTTTCGCTGAAAATGCTTTTTGGGCGTTTTGCTTGGAATTTATTTTCACAGATTTTTCATGAGTTTAATGTGAAATATAGGAAAAAAAGTATATTCGTTGGATTTTATTTTCACGGAATCATCCCTTCAGCGAAAATAGCGAAAATAAATTCCAAGCGAAAATAAAGTATTCTACAGTAGTCCTAAGAAAAGGACTAATTGGAAACAGAATTTCAATTTGTGATTTATCGTCTTCCTATTAGGACTATTCTGAT